AACAACTGGCTGTTAAGATGTATTAAAAAAATATGACCCAGATCATGGATCATGGCTTAGGATCCAGAGTAACGGCAGGGTGGGGAAATGAATGTTATTAATGCCACTGACCTGATCCCTAAGGTTTAAGATGAAATTTGAGGAGCATTGGTTCATAAAATGACCCAATAAAATCACAAAAGCATAACAGGAATGACATCAAAAAAGAAAAAAAAAAACAACTATTGTATAGAGAGCCATCAATTCCAAAGAGAAATAGAGCAAACTGGACTAGAAATGGTATGTATGGCTCCAGAAGGGTTTTTGCTCTGATGCATATGGAATGGTTACTTAAAAAGGTGATCTTGAACTTCATAAGGTATTGTAATATTATAGAAGACACCAAGAATTGGTAGGGTGACACACTGTTCTTGAAATTGCTGTATGCCATGGCCAAAGAAAACAGATTTAATGAAACCAAAAAAGAGGGGAGCCAGTGGCTGTAGTGAAGGGGTTCCTCTGAATTCAGAGGTGTACACATATGGAGGTCCATACACTGAGCTCCACAGAGACAGTGCTGGAGCAAGTTAGAGCTCAGCGGGCAGCTGTGTCCCACTGACCCAAACAAAACAGGTCAACGTGGGCATAGGACATCCTAAGGAACCAAGAGGCAAAATGTCATCAGACACATTCTTTGTGCAAACTTGCAGGGAGGAGAACAAGAAGAAACTCCCAGATGCAGCAGTTAGCTTCTCAGAATTTCTATGAAGTGCTCAGAGAGCCCAAAGACCTTGTCTGCTAAAGGGAAAGAGAAAACATGGCAAAGGTGGACAAGGACCGTTATGAAAGAGAAATGAAAACCTCGATCCCTCCTGCAGGGGAATCCAAAAAGGAGATCAAGGATCTTAATGCACTGAGAGACCTCCACTGGCCCTATTCCTGTCCTGTTCTGAGTATCGCCCCCTAATGGAAGGATTTGGTAACGTGGTAAAGAAGCAGAGAGAGATGTGAACTAGGGCTGCTGCCGAGGAGCCTCTGAGAAGGCTGAGAAGCTGAAGGGAAAGTATGGGAGGACAGTGGTGCCCACTGGGCTACAGGAGAGCCCGAGAAGCAAGAGAGGGGGTGCCGGGGCTGAGGGAAGCAAGTGAGAGGTAGGAGGAGGAAAATGAAGAGGAGGAGGAAGAGGAGGAAGAAGAAGAGGATGGGAATAAGTTGGTTCTGGTGCAGGGTTTTTCCTTGTCCATAGAGCATTTAACTCCTTTTAAAGAAAAAACTGAAATGTCAGTCAGTGTAAGATTTGTTTTTAAAGTGTACAGGGCCTTTTTTTTTTGGTATCATTAACACCCTACCAAATATATCTAGAAAAAATATATATATAGAAAAAAACAAAACAAAACAAAACAAAAACAAACCAATCAATCTGAGGTCCTTGCTTTAGCGCTATCTGTTGTCAGACGTGAAATATGAACTTCTTTTACTTCCCCCTAAGGAGCCCAGTTTTCTACATGGGGCACCCGTAGGTGATCTAGGACTTGAACGTTCAAGATGCAGGCGGGAGTCCCCACAGGAGGCGCAGAATAGCCTACAGGCCAGGGGGCGTGCGCCATGCCCATTCCACACGCGGGCAGGCGAGGCCCTGAGCCAGTTCCTCTCTCAGTACAAACAGCCGAAGCGTCCAGACAGCTCTGGGGAGAGGCCGCTTCTTCCACTCTGAAGAGAGAGACCTGGCCCTGGAGAGCGTGGGGGAAGTGTGCCGAGGTGGCAGGAAGAGCGAGGCGTCTGACTCACCGGTGGATGAAGTGGTTTTCCTCTAGATACTGACAGCCACAGGCAATGTCCCGAGCTACATGCAGTAGGTCCAGCATGGCCAGGGAGGAGGGCTGATTCTGTGAGGAGACAGAAGTGATCCACTGATGAACCTCTTGGGGGACAGACAAGATGCAAACTGGCTTCTGCTTGCCAGGAGGCTGGCTGCAGACGGGCTGCTCCACAGGGGCCTCTGTCCTGGCCACACACTAGAATTCAGCTGGAAGCTCTTTAAAAACACAGAGGCCTGGCCCCAACCAGCCCAGGCTCCCACCTCTGTCGGGGGGCTCAGCTCAGTCCATGTGCAAGCTCCCCGGTGATTCTAACCTGGGGCCAGCCTCGGATGCTCAGGCTGCAGGACTCCAGCGTGTGGCCCCTGGCGGTTCCTTTTTCCCTTATTCTGCACATCCTATCTCAAGCCTTAGAAACACTTGAGTAGCTCAAGTTTATAAACAAGCCTGTGAGGAAACTGACCAGGGGAATAACATTTTATTCCCCTGGAATAAATGCTCTATCTAAATGTCTCAAAATATTTTTTAAAACTTCAAGAAGATCTAGACCTAAAGTGATTCTGAAAAGAAAAGCTTTTAGAAAAGGCTGGGCAATTGATTGTGATGATGATGATTATTGGTATCAGGAATTGAGCCCAGGGGTTCTTAACTACGAAGCCACACTTCAGTCCTTTTTGTTTTCTATTTTGAGACAAACACCCGCTAAGTTGTTGAGTCTGGCTTTGAACTTGGGATCCTCCTGCCTCAACCTCCTGAGCTGCTGGGATTCCTGGCTAAGGGTGGCTAATTAAGGGCCACCTCAGGCTGCTCCATACAAAATCTTTTTCATGCTAAAGGAAATAGCACATGCCTTGGGACATGTCCCTTTTGACCCCTTAGCCCCCACTTGAGGGACGTGAAGACTCTTCTGACGGTGACATCTGTCTTAGTCTCTCTCTCTCTCTCTTTTTTTAGTTATTGACAGACCTTTATTTTATTTATTTATATCTGGTGCTGAGAATTGAACCCAGGGCCTCACACATGCCAGGTTAAGGGCACTACTGCTGAGCCCCGCCCCAGCCCCTGCCTTGGCCTCTTTTAATGCCCCAGCCCCAGGGGCCTGCAGCAGCACACTGTGGTGCAGGGTCCTATCTACTTCACTTATTACTCTGAGCTTTATTTTACCATGTCCCCAAGTAGGATGCTTTGAGTGTTGTGAGACAAGATTCCCATCCCACGTTGCTGGGCATATTCCAGGTGCTCAGTGAGTATTGGTGGCCAGTTGACTGATTATGGTTCTGTGGACTAGGATTTGCCCAGAGGCTGTGTTTCAATGTTCTATGCAAGAAGTATAGGTGGGCCATCAAATCCAATCCCCTGGTGTGGTTTGGATGAGTGTCTGCCAAAGGTCCATGTGGTAAGGGCTTGGTCAACAGCATGTGGTATTGGAAACAGAGTGGGCCTAGAGGGATGTCCTTAGGTCACTGAAGTGTGCCTGTGAAGAGGATTGTGGGACCCTAGTCTCCAGTCTATTTCTGTTTCCTGGCTCAGGATATAAGTGGTTTGCTCTACCATGCACTTCCATGATGCCTGTCTCAGAGACCCAAAGCAATGGGACCACCCGACATTAGACTAGAACCTCCAGAACCATAAGCTGCTGAGAGCCATAGCCGAGTCCGAATGACGCATGGCATTTTTGCCAGAACGGAGTGGTTGAGAGGTGACGCCAGCAAGCCATTGAGATGATAATGGTTATGTTGAGCTGTGTATATTAGACCTTTACTGTCCGGTAATAAGATGGCTCTTGCTGCAACGGGAGCCCGCTACTTTGGAGTTCCCGTTGAGCTCTCGCGGGGATTCCTGAAGAGTTCCCATTGGTTGGGGGAGTGCCGGAGGAGGGATTTTCCGGTTGGTGGTTCCTGGAGGAGCCGCGTGGCATTTGGGAGAGTTTCGGGGAGCGTGTGTGGAGTGTGCTGGTGGAGTTCAGAAATAAAGTTTGTTCCTGCTTCAGTGGCTCGTGATTTGTGCCCAGCCAGACTGGAGCAATAAGCCAAAATAACCCTTTTCTCTATGTAAGTAATTGCCTCAGATGTCTCATTATAGTAACAGGAAGCTGACTAATATACCTTTTAGCACTGTGTTGGATGGTTTCAGCCCCAGAGAGGTAGAAGCTGGTGACTCTGGGTCATATGGGCAAACTCCCTACAGGAAATTCTGCTCGTAGTTCTATTTTGTTCCTCCTAAGAGACTCAGAGGCTTTTTTTTTTTTTTGTACCTTTTACCTCATTGAATGCTCAAGGGTAGGATAAGAACCGTGCTCTTTAGTTCTGAGAAATCCAGAGGGAAGTCATCTACCAGACAGTAGTAGTGTCACCCAGATCTGCCTGAAGAGGCTTTCCTTGCCCCTGGTCAGGCCTCCCAGGGCTCCACACAGCTGTGGGGCTTGGGTCTGGAGGAGGCAGGAGAGGGTCCTGCTTCTCTAGGCTCTGCTTCATGGGGCAGACAACGTAGGAGGGCGGATCCCCTGCTGCTGCCTTGCATGCAAGTCTGTAGAGAAGCTCCCCTTGATGCAATGGATAGTGTGGTATGTAGAGAAGGCTAGCTCCATATTTAAGGTGAGGATGCCGAGGGCTCAGAGAGGTTAAGTGATCACTTCAGGGCACAGAGCATTAAGGTAGAACCCAAACTTCCCAGAGCTGGGCTTTAATAATCTGAGTTGGGGGCAGCAGGATTTAAGTAGTTAAAATTGAGCTTCTTAAAAAAAGACTGCTGAAGGATGGATGGAGGATATGTGAACACAGAGCACAATACCTTGAGCATAGATTACAACATGGCACACAAACACAGAGCAACATAGAGCAGCGGTCAGTCAAGCTGACCTGGGCTTCACCCCCCTGTTATCCCTTAGTAGCCATAAGATCTGGGGCCCTTTGCTCAGCCTATTTCTGAGCAGGTTCCCCATCTCTGACAAGGCCTGGTGCTGTGGATTGCCAGGAGGGCCACCCAGAGGCGCAGAGGGACTCCTCGTGGGGCCTGCAGTTCTCCTAGGTGGCAGCGGGGAGGCTCAGGAGTCCCTCCAGGGTTTGGCTCCTCCAGGATCTTCACTGGGGCCTGCTGTATGGGGCACTGTGAGAGACAGCGCGACCTCCTGGGGACAAGAAAAGCGGCCGTATCTCCATGAAACAGCCCTCACTACAGGATTAGAAGTATCTTTTCTCTCCTTAGGAGAATGTTTCTGTTCCCACGAAAGGAGGACCTGGTCCCAGCTGAGGGAGAGCCTGGAGGAAGCAGAGCCTCTGTCACTCAGGATCCAAGATCACTGATGTCTCAGATGCCCAGGGCCTGAGCACTGCGGGGACTACAGAGCGCCATGCCTCAGTGCAGGGCCAGGTTTGCCGGGGCTCCCAGCCTTCCCCTGCTCAGAGCAACGACCTGCCTCACTAAGCAGCGGACACAGCGGTGGTCAGCCACCTGTGGGGAGGTGTGCGTGTGTGTGGTTTGTGCATACATATGGGTGTGCATGTGTGTGGTGTGCATGGGGGGACAGAGGGTGACATGTGACACTGTGGCAAAACCAACCCTTAGACTAGCAGTGTGGCACAAAGCCAGCCCGTGTACCTGGTGCCACTGGTGTTCGGCTGGAGCACAGGAGTGGGAATCAGGATTTTGCCTGTCATCTGCCTGTGGATGGTGGCACTTCTTTGGCCACCAGATGGTCTTCTCACAGGACACCTGTGGACAGACGCTGCGGGGCTCAGTGAGGATCTGGTCTGGGATTTCCCCAAGGAGGATTGTGGGTCGGAATTGGAAGATGAAATAGACATGGGAATCCCTGGCCAGGTAGGTGTCTTGGAGACATGAATGATCAGTCTTTATGTTGTGGCTTTGAAAGTCTTTTGGACCCCAGAAGTCTTGTGTGGGTGAGTGTGTGGCTCTGCAGGGCACCATCTAGGCGGATAACCCTCTCTTCTAGGTGAGAAGCAGGACTGGTTTCTTCGGTGTCACGGGAGGGGCTTCTCCTAAAAGATAACATATACTAATAAAAGATACACAAATATTAGTATCTCTCCTCCTTTTTTTGGGGGGGGGTGTCTGAGGACTGACCCCAGGGCCCTGGGCAGTGCTAGGTGAGCACTCCACCACTGAGCCACACTCCAGCCTGTCTCATTTTACTACTTAGATGGAGGATCACAAGACATGGGGAAGGAAATCTACCAAGTGAAAACCAGAATGGGGTGTATTTTAAAATTGGCACATATAAAGATGAATGGGGGAGACAAAAGCAGCAAAGAATGTGGACAGGAAACCCCAAAGAAACAAAGCAAGTTTTAAAGCCGATGATGAGAAGTTTGTGCTCCTGGGCCCTCATGATTCCTGCCTCCTGATGGGGACCGACTGTTCCTCGGCACCAGGGGACCCGGCTTGCTTGGAGCCAGCATGGATATTGTCCAAGCCAGAGCCAAAGATTTAAACCTGAGCACGGTCCCTATCAGAAGTTCTCACCCCGCCACAGTAGGACCCAAGAAGTCAGCTGTGCACTGAGTGACTTGTATGGAGCCATTACCTGTAAGTGTTACCACGATCCCAAAAGATTCAGACCCCATTGTGGTTGACAACCTACACCCTCAATAAGGACATTCACTGGGCTGGGTTGCATAGCACAGGCCGGAATCCCAGTGACTCGGGAGGCTGAGGCAGAATTACAAGTTCAAGGCCATTCTGGGCAACTTAAAATAAAACATAAAAAAAAGGGGCTGGGGGTGTAGCTCAGTGGTTAAGTAACCCTGGGTTTAATCCCTGCTGGTATATATTTAAAAAAATCACTAACTTTCTCATGGCTTTTGTCGTCACAGAATCAATGGATACTAAAAGACAGTTATTACCTGTACCTGGCATACAGTAAAGCCTCCATAAATATTTGCTGAATAAATATTAGTTCTGCACAAAGTTTTTTGACATTAAATAGAAACCTTTGTTCTTGGAGAGGTGGGGACATAGGTTCAAGCAACGTTTTCATCTGTACTGTTAATTTCATTTCCATAGCAGACATGGCTGGTCTGTCCATCATGTTTGTACATCTGTCACTCCATGTCTACACTTGTGTCGGAGGTCAGAGCCCCTTTGACCATTTCTAAGGGCCTCTGATCCTGATATAAGTTCTGTGGAACTGCAGAGCCCCGGGGCCAGTGCCCTTGTCTGCGTCTGCCCTTAAGCTTGGTCCCTGCACACAGAGATCATCAGGACCCCTGCACCCCCCCCACCCCGCCAGCAGGGTCTCAGGGTGAGTCATACAAGTGAATCCTGTGGAATTCAGGGCTTCAAGCCAGTCAAGAACCTGGGGGTGCAGCTCTACCCACCCCTCTCTAGGGAATGTGTTTCTCTGCCCCAATGTCCCCTGGCCACCTTGCTTCTGTGGAGGATGTACTGTATTAGCCCCGTCTGCCCCCTAGAAATGATGTTCCTTTCTCCCCTAATGCTCATCTTTCTAAGTTGCTACTTGCAGTCCCTTTGGAGCCCAACAAATCCCTGACCCCCTGGGGGGAGAGTTGTCACAAACATATTGGCCCAGGCTGCTTTGGAAGGCTGAGCTGCAGCAGGTGAAGCCTGATGCATTATAATGTAATAACAAAGCAGTGGGTTTTGGTGACCCTGAGAAACTGCTTCTCAAGAGTGGAGTCTTCCCCATCACGGGCATCCTCTGGGCAGTGCCTGCTGTTGGAGGTTGGAACTGGGCAGCGGGTCCCTGCTCTGACCTGCCTGAGGGTCGTGCTCTGGGGGCCGTGCCTTTTCTTGCTGGTGCTTTGTTCTTTGGATCATGTTTAAATGTTTAAATCCTCAACCATCCGTATCCTCCAAGGAGACAGCCACCTTTGTTTGTAGGAGATAGAAAAGCCCCTCTCCCTGCTCCTGCCCCTTCCACCCCAAGGTCCTCAGACTTGAGAAGTGATGGGTTCCCAGCCTCCCCCTCCAAGGAGGTCTCTCCCCTCTGTGCTTTCTTAATCTCAGTCACATCCACTAGGAAAACCAGACCTGTGCCTCTTCCCAAAGTGTGACGCCACTCGTCCCCACGAGACCTCTGCCAGCAGCTCTGTTGAGAATCTCAGGGCGTGAGGACTGAGGGCTCTGTCTGGTTGGGTGGCCGTGGCAAGCCAGAGAAGCTGGCACCTTGGCAGAGACCCCAGATGGCCAGCAGGGTTGCCTCTCACAGCACACTCCACACACGTTCCCCAGGAACTCTCCCGAAGGCCACCCACGTGGCTCCTCCAACCGGAAATCCCTCCTCGGCAATTCCCCAACCAATGCAACTCTCCAGGAATCCCCGTGAGAACTCCAAAGTAGCAGGCCTAGGCAGACACTAAAGGTCTAATATACAATTGAATCAATCCAGCATCATCTTAATGGCTCACCTCTCAACCAATACTATTGGCAAAATGCCAGGGGCCATTCCGACTGGGCTGTGGCTCTCAGCACCTGTGAGCCATGTGGCCACTCAGGGTCTTCTGCACAGTGTGGATGCCAGTCTTTCTCTGCTTCCCTGGGGTGGAGAGGGTGGCTCTGTTCTCACGGTGATAGTCTTCCTTGAGGAAGCTCAGATCCTAACCCTGTATGTGCTCTGCTCCAGCTAGGAGTGACCAGCGCCTCTTGGAGGCCCAGCAGAGACAGGAGCTTCACTTGGGGACAGGGGCAGTGCTGCATTTTATCATTTCAGACCTCTGAGCTGTGTGAGTCTGACCCTCCGGTTTCACCTGTGTTGACTGTCCCATGTCAGGGTGTCTGGTGGACGTATGGCATCCGATGGTCACACAGGGCTGGAGCTGGGGATTCCTGGACCCCTCCAGGTTCTGTACATCCCAAGCTCTCTCCCCTTACCTGTGACATGCAGCACCTTCCTAAATATTTCAGCACTTTGTTTTTGTAGTAAAACTATTACTACAGGAGATTGGCTATTATTTTCCCTATATAAGAGGTGACGTCAGTGGGTTTGGAATAAATGGGTGGGAATGGCCTGCCCCAGGCCAGAGTGTTGTGTTAGTGATGCAGCTGACACCAAAGTCCCCCTCTGAGTTTGTATTGGGGTTGATGTTCCAGCATCATAGGCCGTAAGAAGGGAGCCAACCTTCGAGATCCACTGCGAAGTCCTGCACAAATTTCTAGGGCATGGGCTCGGGCTCAGCCTTTGTTCCCATTCTGTCCATTGTGTCCCAGCCAGACCCTACTGTCCAAGCCCAAGGCTGACTCCCAGGGTCCTGCCCAGCATGCTGCTTCCCAGGTTGCCCACTCTTGCTCCCCTAATCCTGCTCCTCTCCTCCACTCAACCTGCAGATGGAAGACCTTCTCACTCACCGGGCGAGGGCGCGTCTCCCGCAGGAAGGACTTGAGGTCTCCTCCTGCCATGAGCTCCAGCAGGATGAATCGTGGCAGGGCTTGAAGACTCACCCCGATGCAGCGCACAATGTTCTGGTGGTTGAATTTGCTGTGGAGCAGAGGGGTGCAACCAAATTTAACTGGCTGGGTCTAGGACAATCTTGAGCGAGAAGCTTTCAGCAGCCACATTGTGTAGGCACTGTCCTGTAGGGGATGGCAGCAGGGTCCCCTGCAGGGAAGGGGGGAAGAAGAGGCCAGCCTGCCCGCAGTTTAATTTGCAGGAGAGCATTTTGTTGGAGTGGGAGGATGTTGCCCAGGCCCTGGGGTGAGGGTGCATGTGTGTGTTGGGGGGAGCAGGGTAGTGTCTTTCTCAGATGAACAAATTCCTGTGGAGTTCTCTAAGGAAGGTGTCAGGCAAAAGCTGAAGGAGCTGCTGGGCGCAGTGGCACACACCTGTAATCCCAGGCAGGAGGATTATAAATTCAAGCTCAGCCTAGGAAATTTAGCAAGACCCTAAGCCACTTAGCAAGATCCTGGCCCCAAAATGAATGAATAAATGAATGAATGAATAAATAAATAAATAAAGGAGAGGGTGCTGGGGATGTGGCTTGGTGGTAAAGTACCTCTGGGTTCAATCCCCAGGATAAAATAAAATCAAATAAAATAAATTGAAGGACTGGCTTCTTAGAGGATTGTATGAGACCTGTCAGGTGACAGCATGTGAACTAGAGCCAGGGGTCCATGCTGTGTCCTGTGGATTCCTCATGGGAAGGAAAGGGACTGAGTTGGGACAAGAGGCCTTGAGATTTGGTTTTCTTGTTCCCATCATCCTGGTAGGATACACAGGGAGTGGGGCTAGGGAAGTCAACATGGACGGGGACACGCATGCACCCCCCCACAGACACACACACTTGTGAGAATGGGTGACTACACTATCACCAAGCAGTGATATTGGTTCTCCTTCCAAGTGATCTCATAGTTTTCAATTTTATTCAACAATTCAGTGAGACATGCCTTTACTGCGTGTCTTCCCGGGGCCCACCAGCCCCTCCTTCCCACTGCTCTGCCTGGATTCTGGCCACCATCCACCACAGGGAAGTCCCAGGCCGCCCCATCTGTCAGGATGTGTAGAGGCTTCTCGAAGCCACGGGAGGCTGTGAGCCCCCAGCAGACCAAGTTCAAACTTCTGCCTCCTTCAGAGGAGCTGCTGCCAGAGCGGATGCCTCAGGGGCCGAGCGCTGAGATCCCAGCTGATATCCAGGCCAGAGCCTCAGGGGGCTGAGTCCAGGGGCCGAGACACAGCTGTGCCATGGCGGACCCAGGGTGGGTGTTCTTCTATCACGTTAGGGGTGTGATTCCTTCAGACTAGATCATGAGCTGGGTGGGAAAAGGGCTTTGGTTCCAGAAGAATCACTTGGGGGGAGATTATATCTCCTACGGTCAAAACCTCACAATCTCTATTTCTTCAGAAGAAGTGGGGGAAATAAGAACCAATGGAGGACCCCAGGGATGTGGCTGCAGGCAGAGTCGTAGCCGTTGGATTATCAGGCCACAGAGATGATTTTTGAGACAACCCCTGGGGCTGTACACTCTGGGAAGAAGTATCAATAACACTAGAAAGTTTTCCCTTGGGAGGAAGGGACATGCTGGGGACCTTTCCCTTGGAGAAGTTTGTAGAAGCCTCTCATGTTGTCGGAGGCAGGGGGAGGCAGGCTGGGGGCCCCTCTGTGGCTTTACCTGATGATCAGGGCCTCCATGAGGAAGTCCAGTTCATCCTGTTCCGAACACACCTCCGGCAGCGTCTGGGCACAGAAGGGGAGGGTGGGAAGAGGGAGGAGGCTGTGAGCTGAGAGCTGCAGCCTATGGAGACCACAGGCCAAGGTCAGTCCAATAGGGAGCCACCTCTTACCTTCACAGCCACCTGCAGGGGGCTCGGGTCATTGGGCATTCCGGACACCTGGCCTTCATAGACCTCCCCAAATGCACCATGGCCCAGACCCCTGTGCAAAGAGAAGACAAGATTTTAAGTGGGCCACAGTACCGAGGCAGCTGGGGCCCCCGAGTCCAAGGGTCACATTTAGTGGCCACACATGAGAGGCTAGGGCTGACATACACACTCAGCCCTGGCTTCGCTCGGTGATCCTGGGCCCCTAGTCTTTATCTGAATCTGGTAAGAAGGGGGTTCTGCTACTGTCTGGATAGGGCTTGAGTGTGTCCTCCATTGCCAGGTACCAGAGGGTGGAAACTCACCCAGCTATCGTGATTAAAGGTGGGGCCTGTGGGAGGTGAGGAGGGTTACATAAGGTCATTAGGGTGGAGCCCCCAGGATCGAACCCCGGTAGCATTAAAGGAGAGTC